CATAAGTTATTCGTTAAGATTTTGTGCTTTTCGCCAGTATAATGTATTCTAAAAACAGTGTTAGACTGAAGATCTTTCAGAACCAACTTAAACTATATAGCATTGTTGTGTGAATCGATGTAGATAGCAATAAACTACAGAAATACTTCAAGATAATTGAACAATGCTGTAAGAAACACAAAACTGTAGAATGTCTTTATTGTGATTGGAGCACAAAAACTTTGTACAATAATGTTCCCAACCAGAGTTATCAATAAACTCAGCAACTTGACTTGGAAAGTGTACAGATGTACAAGGGTAGTAAACAATAAACTTAGCAACTTGACTTGAAAAGTGTACAGGTATACCATAATCGAAAACAATAAACTTGCAGGTGTACCAGAGTAGAAAACAATAAAGTCAGCAACATGATGTGAAAAGTGAAGAGACTGTCTTACATAAATATTCCCACAATCACATGTTATTGTATACGATGTTATATTATAGAATTATATTTCAGGTGACAGAACAGAAAAGTAGTGGTTTTCACACAAAAAAAAAGAACTTCCAGATTAACAGTGCAAGGTCAACTAACAAGTACATTTTAATTTCGAACTCAATGATAATTTTAAGCAGCAGCTCACTCTTCAGGAGTATTATACAGGTTAAGAATTAAAGGCTCATTACTTGTGTTTTACCATATATATATTACTCTGTTACATGTACGTTTTTGCCAGTTTTGTTGTTATATATCACACTGTAATGTATATTGTTTTCATTGCTGGTGCTAGAGGTACTGAGGTGGGTCTTTCACCCCCAAATTTCACTCTCACCCACTCAGGTTCATTCTCCTTAGGGGTTTGAAAATTACATTATCAATTTTTAAAAATCTTATGGTTTTCTTAATCACTAAGAAGAGTCAATACAAACGTGTTTGTTTTATATTTTAAATCATCCCAACTTTATATTTTCCTATTAGACAAAACTCACAATGACAAGAACCATAAAAAAAAACAGTAGTGGAAGCAAGATATTTGAGCCAAACTTCATACAAACTTACATAGTAATTTATATTATTTTAAAAAATTAAAGCTCTTTTTTTTCCCCAAAAAAGAAAAGAAGAGTACACATGGATGTTTATATCTATGTAATGAATATGAGTTGAAATTCTATACAGCCATTTGGATTTCGTTAGAGGAACTTTGCTGCCTGGTTAGCATTGGAAGATTTTTACAAGATTTTATTTAAATAAACATTTGGTTATCACTAGAAGAGTTTGAATTGGAGATGATTTCAATATCCACTTAGTTACCTTTGGAACATTATACTCGGTTGCATTCAAAACAGTCATTTAGTTACCTTTGGAACATTATACTTGGTTGTAGTCTCCTAGTTAACTTTTGGCCATTTTGTTGTATTATAAACAGTCACTTAGTTACCTTTGGAACATTATACTTGATTTAGTCTCTTAGTTAACTTTTGGCCATTTTGTTGTATTATAAACAGTCACTTAGTTACCTTTGGAACATTATACTTGATTTAGTCTCTTAGTTAACTTTTGGACATTTTACTTGTTGTATTATAAACAGTCACTTAAGTTACCTTTGGAACATTTTACTTGGTTGCATTCAAAACAGTCACTTAATTACCTTTGGAACATTTTACTTGGTTGTATTCTAAACAGTCACTTAGTTACCTTTGGAACATTATACTTAGTTGTAGTCTCTTAGTTAACTTTTGAACATTTTACTTGTTGTATTCTAAACATCACTTAGTTACATTTGGAAATCTTTACTTGGTCATATTCTAAACAGTCACTTAGTTAACTTTTGAACATTTTACTTGGTTGTAGTCTCTTAGTTAACTTTTGAACATATTACTTGTTGTATTCTAAACATCACTTAGTTACATTTGGAAATCTTTACTTGGTCATATTCTAAACAGTCACTTAGTTACCTTTGGAACATTATACTTAGTTGTATTCTAAACAGTCACTTAATTACCTTTGGAACATTTTACTTGGTTGTATTCTAAACAGTCACTTAATTACCTTTGGAACATTTTACTTGGTTGTATTCTAAACAGTCACTTAGTTATCTTTGGAACATTATACTTAGTTGTAGTCTCTTAGTTAACTTTTGAACATTTTACTTGTTGTATTCTAAACATCACTTAGTTACATTTGGAAAACTTTACTTGGTCATATTCTAAACAGTCACTTAGTTACCTGGTTGTATTCTAAACAATATTTTCCTTCACTATCACCTCAATATTTTACTTACTTGTTACAAAATATTATATTTTTACATTAATTAATTTGATATTTCCAGGAATGTTACTTCTTGTTCACTGCTTTTCATTTGCTTATTTATTGCTGCAACATTCTATACTTGACTCTTACTACAATACGTTATTTCTCTATTCTATAACTAGCTTATTTACTAAGTGATATGCTATTTTAATAGCTATAGGTCAGTAATTTAACGCTGCAAAGTTTTACTTGACTATTAATAGATCATCTTCCTTTTCGGTAGTTGCAATGTGCCTACTCTGGTATACCTGTACACTTTTCAAGTCAAGTTGCTAAG